AGCGGCATTAGCACCTGCCTTGCAAGCAGATGGTCGTGAGTTCGATCCCTGGTACCGGTAAAAAAAAAAAAAGAGCAAACAAATATACTAGAGGTGTGACCCACAAATTCTTGTCTTCTCTGCTCTCACATTTGTTAGAACTCAGGGAGGCAGGTTTCCACATCTGTATTAAGTCAACAATGGCACATCCCTGACTCAGCTCTAGGCCATTCCAAGTGATCAGATATCCTTGACAGGACACCCATCAACTGTATACAGGGGAGCCCATCATGGGGTTAGTTCTGTTAGTTCAAGTTCTCGGTCTTTCCTGGAAGCCCTGATGAGGTTATTTTAGAAGGTAGTTTAGTATGGTAGGTAAAAGCCTGGACTCTGAAGCCAAACTTCTTGAGGTTTTTGTTTGCTTGTTTGGTTGGTTGGTTGGAGTTTTGGTTTGGTTTGGTTTTTTGGGGTTTTTTTTGTGTGTGATTTTTTGAAACAAGGTCTTGCTATGTAGCTTAGACTGGCCTCAAACTTGAGGTGATCTTCCTGCCTCAGCTTCCTGAGTACTGGGATTACAGATGTGTATCACCATGCTCAGCCTTCTTGGGTTAATTTAAATATGTCTCTGCCATATGCTTGTTATGTGACCATGGGCAAATAACCAAACTTCTCTGTGCCTCTAGCTCCTCTTTGTAAACTGTTAGTACTTACCTTGTACAGTTGTGCTAAGCACATTCATTAAGTATTTGCTATTTGTATTGTTATTATTGCTAGAAAATCCACCTCCTCCACTTTCTATCAGCGTCAAATTCTGATGCTGTGTCATGCCTTATTTACTCCCATTCTGAACAAGCACACCACTGAGATTATTTTTGGACATGCAGGCAAAGGAAATGTCCCCAAATGGAAAACATACCCTGGGGATTGGTCTGGTTTCCTGAGCTCATGGTTCTGTTCACTTTCTCTCAAAGCACTGATAATCTCATCAGGGAAGACAGTGCAAAGTATTCCTCTAAACATACTTCAGCCAATTCCTCCGAACATCTTAATGTTCTAACTAACTTCAGGAGACAATTAATGCCCAACATTTGTTACAGCCTCCTAAACATGAATCTTTTTTTGTGTATGTGTGCCAGGGATTGAACTCATGACCTTGCACTTGCAGGCAGGCGCTTATGCCCCCGGCCCTGACATGAATCATTTTAAAAATATATACCATAACGTTTTCTTTCAGGTTTTGTGTGAATTTCTAGTCAGGGTAGAATTATTCTTCATGTAGCAACATTAACTCAAAGACAACTGCAAGTAATGAGCATTGGATATTTGTACCACTGCGTCCCAATCTGGAATCAAATCTTCATCTAAAAGACTATTGGGAGCCATTGAGGTAGAGCCATTCTAAAAATTCTTCAGCCTAAAAACATAGGAATCAAGAACTTTCAATTCCAGTGGAACCATTGAGCCAAGCAGTGAGTCATTAAGAATCTGTGATCACTCGTAGGACACAGGGAGGCTATAGTACTGAAAACTTTGCACCATTAATTTAGATAAGTGAAAGATCCATTCAAGGGCAGGGAATTTAGTTCAGCGGCTCAAGCACTTGCCTTGAAAGTGCAAGGTTGTGAATTTGATCCCCAGGACCAAAAAAGAAAAGAAAGATCCATTCAAATATTGTCATCTCTACCTAGGATGTCCTCTGTTGTGCACTGCAGCATTAAATGTAATTTTATGCCGGGCGTGGTGGCTCATGCCTGTAATCTCAGCACTTGGGAGGCTGAGGTAGGAGGATCATTGCAAGTTCGAGACCAGCCTGGGCTACAAAGTGAGCTCAAGGCCAGCCTGAACTGCATAGCAAGACCCCATCTCAAAAAAAAAAAAAAAAAAAGTAATTTTATGGCAACTCCCAATTTATGTCCCAGTTTTAGAAAAATCTGCTCATGATACATCCTGTTTATCAGCAAAGACCAAAGTGGGCTGCTAAGTGATTAGTTAAAGAACATATTATACTACCTGCCAACAAGTTGATTGACTCGGGTTCCTTGCAAACAGGAGTTTGCTTTTAAAGAGCAGATTGTCCTACCTAGGACATTCCACAATGGTTATGGGATAATTGTTACCCCTCATGCCACCCTTTATCCCAGGTGCCTTCCAAACCCTGGCTCCTTATGAAAGCTATTAGTTACCAAGAATATCTCTCAGTTTGCCAAAAATGAGAGTAAGGTATATGCCAAATAAAAGAGGAAGGGATTCAAGTGGGTGATACTGTCCAGCACACCTGTAAGTATACATTCATGTGAGAAGCTGGGAGCCTGCTGCTTGGACACTTTGAACATCATCTTATGGTATTCTTACACTTAGTCAACCTGAGGCCTTGAAACTAAAGAGCTCTATTATCTATTACCTGAATCCAGACCAATAATTACTCTCAGTTTAGGTCTCAGTGCCCACAAGAAATAGGCTTTTGTTCTGTTCTTTTTCCTCAATCTGGAGCTGTTTGACCATGGACATTCTGCCACCTCCACCTTGTCCAAAGTTGAATGACCAATATTTTTTTTTCTTTTGTTTATTCTGTCTTTTTGAGACAGGTCTCACTATGCAGTTCAGGCTGGTCTTGAACTCACTTTGTAGCCCAGGCTGGCCTCAAATTCATAACCATCCTTTTGCCTCAGTCTCCCGAGTACTGGGATTACAGGCATGTGCTACCACGCTTGGCTCTTGAATGACCAACCTTAAGTGATAACTGGTCCCAGTAAGTAATCCCTCCTTGCTATAATATATGGTGAAGTACCAATGAATCCCCTGGTTCAGTCCAGAATTCCAGAACTCTATACTCAAATCAAGCCTTTAGTACTACTACCTCTCAGCTGTACAGGGAGGAGATTCAAATGTGCCCCATTCTATTCACATATAGAATGTTAAAGGAGATTTTTATTGGAGGGTAAAATAAAAAAAGGACAGAGATAAGTGAGTGTGGCCAACCTAGAAAGTGGTAAAAGGAGCTAGGAAAGAATTCTGGAACCAAAAGTAGCATTCCCACCTTCTATCAGATGAGTCAGCAATCCTCAACAATTTCTAAGGAGAATAGAAGACACTGATCTAGTTCCTAACAAGCACTAAAAAGCAAGCAAGATTAAAAATCGGAATAAGTGAGAAAGAGCCACTACTTGATGAATACAGCAGAGGCCCTGAAATATCAAATGCAGTGCTGGATTTCATATTGCAACAGAGACGGGCTAAAGGAGATAAGGCAAGGAGCTTAGCCTCCTTTTCATTTGGATGATGGGAGAGGCAGAAATCTTGGAAGCACCCTAGACCCTCTTCTCCCTTTTTATTACTCCTTCAAATCTTCATCTTTACTATCTTAAATCTTTCTCAGATCCATCCACTCTTGTTCAAGATTCCGAGATGCAAGCCAAATCTAACCAATGAAAGTTGAATATAAATGTATTCAAATAATACTAGGAGCCACATAGAAACCTTAGGAAAAATGGGGACCCAAACGCTAACAAGAAACAGTGCTGAGAATTGGGCCACAGACCTGGTCTGGCACAGACATTACCGTGTGTATATTGGTGGATACTTCTGGCACTGAGGACTCTGGACCCTGGATACTGCTTCAAGAAACAAGAACCAGTGTTTCTGCTCCTAGTTCCCATCATTGGCAGAAAACTTCAGATGGCCCCGGTTCCTTGCAACTTAATCTCCGAGTCAAAGTCTGGAGCAAGGGCTGGGGATTTAGCTCAGTGGCATAAGTACCTGCCTTGCAAGTGTGTGGTTGTGAGTTCGATCCCTGGTACCGATAAAAGAAGAAAAAAAAAAAAGTCTGGAGCAGATGTATTTAATTGGCCTAGGCAAGTGTTGGTTTGGTTTGGTTTTTTAAAACATCTTGCTGTTTGGTCCAGGGTGACCTTGACCTCACTATGCAGCCCAGACTGGCCTTGAACTACTGCCATCCTCCTGCTTCACCAGGAGTGCAGGGATTACAGGCATGTACCACCATACCTAGTTGTTGTGTTGGTGGGTTTTTTTTTGCAGTACTGGGAACTGAACTTGAGACTTTGCACTGAGCCGTATTTGCAAGCCTTTATTTTTTATTCTGAGATATGGGCTCACTAAATTGCCCATTCTGGGGGCTGGGGGTTTAGCTCAGCGGCATAAGCGCCTGCCTGGCAAGCAGGCAGTCGTGAGTTCGATCCCTGGTACCGATAAAAAGGAAAAAGACAAAAAACAAAACAAAAAAAAATAAATTGCCCATGCTGGGTTCAGACACGCAAACCTACTTCCTCACCTCAGAATGTGTGGTTACAGGCATATAACACCACATCGAGCTCTAGCCAAAAGTCTTTGTCTGTGGCCTTGCTGTAGGAAAGGCTGGGTAAGGAAAACATGGTCTTTTCAATCTCTACAGTGAGATATGGGTTTTGTTTCATAATAGGTGATTCCCAACCATAATGAATACTAGCCAACCAGTACATTATCTTTTCCAGCCCTGTCCTCTGTCCCTCTCTACTTTTCCCAGCATTCCAGACTCTAACAAAAAACTTTCTGCTGCCTCTCTAATGCTTCTAACTCACTTGTCATCCTGCTGTCTTAAATATTCCTGATGGCCCATGAACTCCTACTTATGCTCCAAGATTCTCCAAGACCAAGTTCAAATGTAACTTCTCCTTTTAGACCATTTGAAATTCTATAGAAATGCCAATCTCAGGAAAGGAGTATCCACCCAAAAAAGAGCTTTCATCTGCTCTAACCCTAAGTGTCCAACATCCTGAGTCTTCAGAGGCCACTCAAAACTGGCTTGTCAGAGAAGACCGGTGAGGGAGTTCCTGTGATCACAAGATCCTCTTTCCATCCCTCACTTGCTCCATCACAGCCATGGTGATTTGATCCTTGACATCCTGAAAATAAGATGTGAGCGGCTAGGAGACAGCCCTGCATGTAGCTAATTGGTGTGGAGATGAGAGAATCAGAAAATCAAATAACCCCATCTGCTATACTCAGATTAACTGTTCTCATTTCAGATCAGAAGGAACCAGTGTCCACTAGGCTTCCCTCCATTACCTCAGAACATGGGAATTATTCTGTGCACCAGAATAGCCACAAGAGGTACCATGAAGCTGTACGGAAGGTGTTATTACAGAGATGTAAGTAAAAGATGTATCTGTGTTTCTGATAAATGGCTGGGACATCATGGACCACAGCAGGAGGCTGGAGAGCCAGGAAGGCAGACAGAGAAATGCGAGAAAGTAAACTTGAATGGCAAATGAGCATGATAAAATATAAACTGAATAAGATATAGAAGCACAAGATCCAGGCTGTGCCTCCTTTAGACATCTCACCTTGCGTAAGTCACTTACCTGTTATTATCCTGTTTCTTCATTTTATTTTGCTTGGATATTTCTTTGTGTTTTTGTTTTGAGGCAGGGTGTCACTATGTAGTGCAGGCTGGCCTCAAACTCACAGCAATCCTCCTGGCTCAGCCTCCCAAGTACTAGGATTACAGGTGTGTACCACCATGCTTGGCATTTTATTTTTATTTTTAAAAACATTGGAGTTTTTTTTTTTTTGAGAGACAGAGAGATAGTCTTCCTATGTAGTGTAGGTTGGCCTTGAACTCACAGTGAGCATTTTGCCTCAGTTTCTGAGTGCTGGAAACACAGGTGTGGGCCTCCACACCCTGCCTTCTTCATTCATTTTAAACAAAACAGAAAGTGGGAATGCCTGCTCTGCTGCCGTACTAAACAACTGTGAGGATCACAGCAAAACTAGAACAGTTTAGGGAAATAGTTTGCATATTATCATATTTTGCACATGAGGAATGGTATAACAAACAATAGCTTTGGAATTTAACTCATCCGAATTTAAACTCTAAATAAATTGTATGACCTTGGGCAAGATCCTTTAGGGACAAAGAGGACAAGTTCCTCTCTGAACCCTCTAAAAACTGGAATACTCCTTTAGCATTGTTATGAAAAAGGATGTAGGACAAATTCCTGATACACACAGTACATTGTAGGATTCTCCAGGGAATTAGGCTCTATAGAGAAATTAGCCCTCCCAGGCATGGTGGCAGGCACCTGCAATCCCGTCACTCTGGAGGCTAACAGAGAAGGATCACGAATCAAGGCCACCTGGGCCATGTAGCAAAACCCTGCCTAAAAAAACCAAAACAACGAAAGCCAGTCTACAAAAGATCCCAATCTGTATGCCACTTATGTAACATTTTTAAAATAACAAATTTATAGAAATGGGCAGATCATTGATTATCAAGACTACAAAATGGCAATACCAAGATTAGGGTGATAGGACTGTCCTGTATCAGTATGTCAGTATGCTTGGTTGTAGTAATGTACTATAGTTTTGCCAGTTACTACCTTTGAGTAAAGGGTATACATGGGTTATCCAAGTAATATTTCTCACAACTGTCTATGAATCTGTCTACAGTTGTCTTCATATTTAATTTAAAAAACAAAAACAATTTAGAAGCCAGAACAGGCATATGTAAGAAGGATATCTTAGAGTTATTTCTTTACTTTTTTTTTTTTTGGTACCAAGGATCGAATTCACACTTGTAAGGCAGGCACTTATGCCACTGAACTAAAAATCCCTGGCCCCCTTAGAATTATTTCTAATAACTAATTTTTTTTTCAGTGCTGAGAATGTATCACAGTGCTTTTGTGCATGATAGGCAAAAACTCTCCCACTGAATCACACCCGCAGCCCTTTCATATCTGAGACAGGGGTTCACTAAGTTGCTTGGACTGACCAACTTTCCATCCTCCTGCCTCAGCCTCCTGACAGTAAAACTTTTTTTTTTCTTTCAGTACTGGTGATAAAACCCAGAACCTTTTCACTGAGCTACACTCCCAATCTTTTTCATAATGTGAGCCAGGTCTTGCTAAATCACTAAACTGCCCAGGCTGGATGTAAACTTGCAATCCCCTACCTAAGCCTCCCCAGTTTTGTTACATTTGGGGAGTTTTTTTTTTAGACAGGGCCACACTATGTAAGTGTCTAGTCTGGCCTTAAATTTACAATTGTAGCCACCTAAGTACTAGGATTACAAGTGGGGTTTTTTGGCTTTTTAAAATTTCATTTTTTTGAGATAGGGTCTCAGTATGTAGACTGCTAAATCTCTGAAAGCTGCTAGCTTTTGTGTTTGTTTTGTTTTGTTTAATTTTTAATTTATTTTTTTTTCCAGTACGGGGATCGAACTCATGACCACCTGCTTGCAAGGCAGGTGCTTATGCCACTGAGCTAAACCCCCAGCCCCTTTGTTTTTTTGTTTTGTGTGTGTGTGTGTGTGTGTGTGTGTGTGTGTGTGTGTGTGTGTGTGTCTGTGTGTCTGTGTGTGTGTGTGTGTCTTTTTCCTTTTTATTGGTACCGGGGATCGAACTGACTACCGCCTGCTCGCAAGGCAGGCACTTATGCCGCTGAGCTAAATCCCCAGCCCCTGTTTTGGTTTTTTGAGACAAGGGTTTCCCTGTGTCATGTAGGCTGGCCTAGAAGTGACTTATGTAGTCCAGGCTGGCCTTGAACTCACAGCAATCCCCCTGCCTCAGCCTTTTCGAGTGCTGGGATTACCGTAGGATTACAGGTGTGAACCACCATAATTCTAAAAATATATAAATTTTATATACTGCTAGAATTAAATTCATACAAATAGTTAAAAGTTGCCAAGGGGCCAGAGATATAGCTCAGTGACCCAAGGGCCTGTCTGGCAAATGCAAGGTCATGAGTACAATCCCCAGTACAAAAAAAGTGGGCAGGCATGGCAGTGTACGCACTGAGTTGAGTTCAAGGCCAGCCTGCACTACATAGTGAGACCCTGTCTCACAAACAAAGTATGTGGGCTGGGGATTTAGCTCAGCGGTATAAGCGCCTGCCTTGCAAGCAGTGCAGTTGTGAGTTTGATCCCTAGTACCAAGAAAAAACAACAACAACAACAACAAAAAACAGGAAAAAAAAAAAAAGTATGTGTACATGGGTGTTATGGGAATTGAACCGAGGGCATTTATATGCTAGGCAAGAATTCTACCATTAAGCTACACCTTCAGTCCCTGAAAATATCTTTTTTTTTTTTAAATAAAATAGCTCATGAAAAGAAAATATATTTTCTTGAAAAGCTAGTAACCCTAGGTGTGGTGGTATATACATGTAATCTCAGCACTACGTGGGGTTGGAGATGGGGTTGCTGAGGCAGGAAGATTGTGACTACATTGTAAATGCAAGCCTGAACTCCATAGTGAGACCCTGTCTGAAAAAAAGCAAGCTGGTCATACCTATAATTCTAGCACTCAGGAGGCTGAAGCAAGAGGATTTCCATGAGTTCAAGGCCAGTTTGCATGATGGTGAGGCTTTGTCTCAAAAAAAAAAAAAAAAGTGACTTTCAGAGATTTACCTGGGATGGGCAAAGGAAGGCATTTCAGAGAAAAGAGCAAGAAATGAGGAGGATAGGGCTGGGGATTTAGCTCAGCGGCATAAGCGCCTACCTTGCAAGCAGGCAGTCGTGAGTTCGATCCCTGGTACCGATAAAAACGAAAAAAGACAAAAAAAAAAAAAAAAAAAAAAAAAAAAAAATGAGGAGGAGACTGGGGATTTAGCTCAGTGGCATACAAGCATGAGGTCAGGAGTTCGATCCCTGGTACCAAAAAAATACAAAATGAAACAAAACAAAACACAGTAAAATAAATAAATAAATAAAGGAATGAGAATGATTAAGACCAGGAAAAATGAAAAGTAATGAATCAGTAGACCCCTAACTTGTACATTTTCTAAGTGAGTTGACCACTTGTTTTTCTACCATCTTAGCACCTGAGGAAGTGCTCTAATAGTAGGAAGAATCAAAGCTAACTTTAATGATCTGACTATGAGGGGTGTGAGATACTGCAACCCAGAAGTGAAGCAGGGTGTGATGACCACATTCCCAGGACTTCTCAGTACCTGGTCAGGCCCATTTGGTAGGCTAGGCTTTTGTTGCCCAGAGGCCGAACAATGAGCAGTGAATCTGAAGGAATTCAAATAACCAGCCCTTTCCCCAACCTATTCAGTCCCCAATCAGGTCTTCAGAGTCCCTCTGACTGATGCTCAGAACTTCAGCTTCTGGTGGTCCCATGATCCAGGAGTACAACCATGGGAAACCATGCCATGGATCCAAAGCCCACGCCACTGTCTCATTAAAAGCCCAATGACCAGGTAGGCCATGAGGGATTAGACCAAGGGAAGTACTCTGCTATCACCGAAATCCTTAGATACTGTTTTATCTCAGAGTTAGGGAATAGTAGGAGAAGTTTGGGTATTAGTAAGATTTGGCTTCAGAATCTGGGCAGTGATATGTTCAATAGAGTTAAACACTCATATCTGGCTTTGTGTTTTACCTTGTGCAGAGTGACTTCTGAGAAGGCACAAATGTCTGTAGCATTCCTGTGGGTCTCTGGGGTACATCTTCTCCCTTCACTGCTATCTGCCCAACCTCCAACCCCCATCCATTGGCAGCCCTACTTTATCCTGCCCATTCTAACCTGAGGCAGTCAGAGGACCGTTTGGGTTTGTTTGTTTGTTTTTTGTCTTTTTCATTTTTATCGGTACCCAGGATTGAACTCACGACCGCCTGCTTGCAAGGCAGATGCTTATGCCGCTGAGCTAAATCCCCAGCCCCTGACCATTTATGTTTTAAGGATATCTCCCCACCTTGCAGACTGAATATGAGACTTGTCTCCCTTCTAGGTTTATCGATCACTGTATTCTCAATGACAGAACCTTCAGTCAATATTGAGGACAGTGTGGTTGCAGATGGACAGAGGAACCATGAAAGGAGTGTAAACTGGGGAAAACGGAAGAAGTATCCCAGTTCCTATAACTTACTAATGGCAGGAGGGGATCAAGAAAGCAGAGTAAACGAATTGGGCTAGCAGTCACTTTGTCACTGGGAGATGGGAGATGGGGATGAGGAAATACACCAATATCCAGACTGCCGTGAGAGCAAGTGTGAGATTCCTGAAGAGGTCAGATCTTCGTATGAGATGTTTGGAAGGGGCCAATGCCCTAGAAGAAAAACCTCAGGGGTCTGTATTTAGCTCACAAATGACAAGGGTCAGAATAACAAATCTGGCAACACACCTGAGGCCTCGTGATGATAACGGCCTAGAGCAATCATGCTCTCTGAAAATACACTTTGGCGGGAAAGAAGCCACAAGAAGCTCTCACACCACAGATAAGACTAACCCATAGAACCCTGGGGCAGAAGGTTGACTTCTGTACCAGGCTTTGCCACTTCTGACCCAGCCCAGAGCCCAGAACAGCTGCAGAGAACAGGAAATTTTACAAAGAATTTGATTTTATTGATATTTAAATATATTAAATATTTCACTGAAATACATAGTACACCACCCTCCCCCACTCCCACAGTGGTTACATTATAAAACCAAAGCCCATGGCCTCCCATCCCAACTCCTCCACAACTGGTGAGGAAAGGGCCAGTGGTAACCGAGGGGAAGGGCAGACTGGCACTGCGGTACAGGGAGCCAGAGTATGGTCAGGACCCTCCCACCTGACAAGAAGCAGAGACACATCACCCAAGGCTGAGGTCTTCCCACTCTGGCTCACTTACACCCTCCTTTTCTTCCCATGGCACCAGGGAATCCTTCCCTCCAGGGCTATGGCTGGATGGGAAGGGGAATGGAAGGGGAGTCAGTTTTCTGTCTGAAGCAGCTAGCTTTTCTTCTCTGCCCTGGCTAATGAAATGCCTGGTGGTTCACTGGCTGATGCATGGAGAGCCCCAAGGCAGGCAGTACCAAGCCAGGAACAGACCTCTGTGAGGAGCTGGTGTGTCAGAAGGAGCATAAGGAGGGGCAAGGGCAATACTTCCTCCTTCCACCCCACCCCCCAGCCCCTTTCTCCTCTGCTTCTCTAGACACTTACAGGACAAAATGATCTTCAAGCAAAACTCGAGCTAATGTCTCTGGCTTAAGTAAGTATATAGAGAGAAACCAAGGCACCAGCCACTTCAGGCCAGAGTCCAGGAGACTGCAGGCAAAGAGGGTAAAAGGAAAGCAAGGATAGGAAGGGAATTTAGAGTCCAACTTTGATTGTTTGCTTTGTTTTGTTTTTTTATAGTACTGGGGATTGAACTCAGGGCCTTGTACATGCTAGGCAAGCACTTTACCACTGAGCTACATTCCCAGCCATAGAGTCCAACTTCTAACCCTTCCAGCAGCCCCTGCATGGGGACTGGGAGTGAGAAGCATTATAGACTCAACCTGAAGGCTCCAGAAAGCCTAGTTAAGATCCCCCTTCCCCATCCCTTAGTACCAATATCTGGGTCCTCAAAGGATCCCATGCTGCCCCAGTCTCAAAGCATAACATATCCCAGGACATAAGCTGGGGAACCCAGGAAATCCCTCAGCCTCTGCTTACCCACTAAACCCTTGACAGTTCAAGTGCATGGAGCACTGAGGCTCAAGCAGGCACTTGGGTCCCTGCCTGAGGCAAGGAGACAGTCATACTGTACACATGGCCCCAAATGGCACTTAGGGATTTGGCACAAAAAGGACTCCTCTCCCCAGGCCACCTTCCTTTTGCTCCTGTGCAAGCTGGGCATCTCCCTTCATCCCTTGAAATAGGAAACCCTGCCTTATTCCCAGATGACAAGAGGCCCACAGAAGAGAGGCAACCCTGGGTGGAGAGCTGAGGAGCAGGAGCACAAGGACATACACAGACCTGGGAAATAGATATGCACGCAAAGAGCAACATGCACACACAGTTACACAAACACACAGGCCCTCCCCAGGGGCAGAGACTTGGGAGGCCAGGTTTGGGATCAGGGTCATCTTCCTCTGTGCCCTGAACCTTTTCTATTTGGCAATAGAAGGGCAGAGAAGCTTCATGCCCCCTTGCCAGCAAGCAAGTGCTGGGACCAAGGGACCTGATCCTAGCTATGGCTAAGCCTCAGATCAAGCCTGGCTCCATCCCCCTACCTAGCTGCCTGCATTCTTTGGCACCTGTAGGTGAATGTCCAGCTTCTGATCATTGAAATCTCCAGACCCACACACAGGCTGGCCCTCTGGCTGGGCATTTTCACAGTACCAGTGAGGCCAGACACTCCTTCCCCTGGAATGTGTAGGAACTGGGGCTAACTCTGAACTGTCACAGTCCCTTTGTTCCCCTTTGGGGACAGATCACGGGACTAGGATTTGGCAAATGGAAACATTCCCCTGAAATGTAGATAGAGCTGGGTCCTCAGAAGGTCTCCATCCTGCCCTATGCCCAGGAGGGAGACCTGGCTAGGACTAGCAGTACCCAGGATTAGTGCTGGGGACACAGGCATAGCAAAGGCAAATATGGAATAGGCACTCCTCATGCCTGTCCCAGTCTTTGTACAAAATATTCCCAGGAAAAAGGGAAAGGAAAGACCCAGCCCTTAGCCTGTTGTCCAGACAAGACAAGGGTAGGCATGGCAAATTGCCATTTTAATTTCTCAGACAGGAAGGCTCTCCCTGCCCGTACTGCTCCCTTTTGCTCCCACAAGCTGGAAGAAAAGAGAAGAAACAGCCCGACCTCATTTGAAAAAGAAAGTCAGTTGCATAATCTTGGTATCCCTTTTCACCAGTCTGAGGGCAGACGAGCACAGTCCCAGTATAATCTGCTGGGGTCTTCCCTTTTGTGATCAGTGAGGTCTGGAGACAGAGTCCCCTGGCACAGCTCCACCCAGCAAGTAAGGAGTCCACTCAATGCCCACCTTGGTCCCTTGAGCTGAATCAGCAGCTGGGCCCTGCTAACTGCTGGGGCCCCCATTGAGGAAGTAGGTGATCATCTCCCCCTTGCCCTTCACCTTGACCACCCCTCGACACTCCAGTTGGTAGCCCTTGGCAGCTAAAACCTGGTACAGGTCCGTGGTCACCTAGGGGAGTGGGAGGGAAGCCTGCTTAGCCTGGAATCCTTCTTGCTGTATTTGCAAAAGCCCAGGGGTTCTCTATTCAAGGCAGCTCCCCTCTCCAACCCTTGCTTCACCCACCACAGAAGACTGCCACTCTGCCCCTGTCCTGCAGAGAGACTTATGGAAGCCCACTGAACCCATACCCCTCCCATCCTTGCCTCACAGCCCCCTCACCTGTATCCGGTCAGGTACCCCTGTGCTGTCCATGCGACTAGAGACATTTACTGTGTTCCCCCAGATGTCATACTGTGGCTTCCGAGCTCCAATAACACCTGCCACGACTGGGCCCATATTCAACCCTGAAGTGGAAAGAAAGGCAAGAGACTGAGACTAGTGAATGCTTCAGGGCCAGCCTAAAAAGTCATTCCACCTCCTGGAATCTTGAGGAAAGCCCAGAGGAAAAAGTAGAGGCACAAATAGGGCAGTAAAAAATGGAAGACCAGGGGCTGGGGATTTAGCTCAGCGGCATAAGCACCTGCCTTGCAAGCAGGCGGTCGTGAGTTCGATCCCCAGTACAGGGGTGGGGGGGTGGCTAGCATGATAATGTGTCCCTTTAATCCCAACACTCTGGAAAGTTCAGGAGGATTGCAAATTCAAGCTAACCTGGGCAATTTAGTGAATTAGCAAAACTATATCTCAAAATTAAAAACTAAAACAATGTATCTCAGTGTGAAGGTTCTGGACCCAATCCCCAGTACCTCATATGAAAAAGTGGGGGGGGGGGTGGCTGGGGATTTAGCTCAGTGGCAGAGCGCCTTCCTGGCAAGCACGAAGTTGAGAGTTCAATCCCCAGTACCAAAAAAAAAAAAAAAAAAAAAAAAAAGCCAAGCATGGTGGTATACATCTGTAACTGCAGCACCTGGAGACTGGAGACAGGACTGCCATAAATTCAGTCAGCCTGCATTACATAGTCAGTTCAAGATCAGACAGAACTACAGAGCAAAGTATCTCAAAAAAAAAAAAATTGGGCAAGTGGGCTGCAAACCTCCCTCAGTTGAAACAACTACTGTAACAGTAGTCAATCTACTGAGGGTTCTCTTCTGTGCCAACTACTGGAGTAAGCATTTTACCTTGCTGCACCCTCTCACCACCTCTCCAACACAGGTATTATTATTCCCATTTTACAGGAAAGTACTGGTGTGAAGCAGTAAGTACTTAATGAGAAGAAACATCTCTTCTCGGACGAGCCACAGAAAAGGACACAGGCACTGGAGTGCAGAAAAGCTTAGTTTCTTTTTTTTTTTTTTTTTTTTTTTTTTTGTCTTTTTCGTTTTTATCGGTACCAGGGATCGAACTCACAATTGCCTGCTTGCAAGGCAGGCGATTATGCCGCTGAGCTAAATCCCCAGCCCCAAAAAGCTTAGTTTCAAATCCTATCCTAGCCATTTACCTTTTCTGGCTGAGATAGTTTTCCTAACCCTTTTTTATTTTTTTAAACACAGGGTCTATTGCCTGGGTAAGTGTGAGGTTGTGAGTTCGATCCCTGGTACCACAGAAAAACAAAAACACAGGATCTCACTATGTAGTTCAGGCTGGTCTTAAACTCACTATGTAGCCCAGGCTGGCTTCAAATTATGGCAGTCCTCCTGCCTCAGCCTCCTGAGTGCTAGGATTACAGGCATGCGCCACCATGTCCAGCTCATCTTTAAAAAGCAGGTAACAGAAGGGTTAATGTACTTAAAATACCTAGGACTGACACCAATCCATAGTAGGCCCACAGTAAATGGTCTCTGTATATAGGACAATATAGAGAATGGAAGGGAAGAGAACCCTATAGGAGCCCTGATGGAGAACCTGTGACCCCAGCCCATAAACTCAGCTTCACCCCTAAACAGCCCTGGGAAAAGCTGCCAAGAGCCAGGCCCTCTCACCGATCTTCATCTGAAAATTGTTGAAGGAGTGCTCATTGATGTGCTTCATCTGCTCCATGAGCCGCATGGCGTAGTCTGCAAGGGCAGTGATGTGGGAGCGGCCCACCTGATCATAGGTGCTGGCGTTCAGCCCAGAGGCAGCCATGTAGGTACTACCAATTGTCTTTATCTTCTCCAGCTGCCGGAACTGCTCCTCGCTGATAATCTGGGCAATGCAGAAGAGGTCAAACCCAGCCCTGCCCCAGTGAGCCCTGCCTCACTCCTTGCCATGACTCCCTTCCTCCCCTTCCTGTCGCAATAGCTCCCCTCATCTTAGTGTGTGGGCCTGCTTCCAGCTGCTGCTGTCAGCGCAGGATAAAGGAGCCAAGTCAACTGTGATGGCCACCAGATAAGCAAAACGGAGGCTGAGCATCAGTTATTCTAATCCTCACCTTTTGGGGAGTGGTGCCCCTGAATAAGGAAAGGATTCCTTCTGGAATGGTGAACAGCTCATTCCAGACCAGGATGCTCAGGACAATTTCTTACATTTGCTTCCATTTTCTCTATTAAGGGAATTACCTTGCTTGTTTGGTCTCTTGGGTTTCTGTCCACACACTACTGTTATCCTCTTTCAGACATCTGGTCCCTCTTCTATCTCCCACAGATCTTCGTGTTCTCTTCTGCTCCCCAACAGGGATGACTCTGCCTTACTGGGATGACTGTTCCCTCTGACACCTTCATGGGCTCTTGTCTCCGATCCCACTGTCCCTACCCATGACATCTCTAGATCCCATTAAATCTCCCCTTCTTCAAGTACCACCCAGCCCCTCCGACTATGACCTTCTCATTCAACATTCCTTCTACTCCCCTGGTCCCCAAATCCCCTTACTCTGCCACCACCAGCCAGCTGGAAAGTACCTCATCAAAGTCAGCGATGATCTCATTGAGCAGTCGCAGGCACTCAACCCCCTCATTGTTGGCCTCCAGCTCCACATAGAACTCAGAGAAGTTGGCAATGGAAGCAAACATGACAGCCACGCACTCACAGGACTGATAGTAGAGCTCATCATTCCGGCGCTCCCGGGCCAGGAAGTGGGCAGCCACGTCCTTGGGCAGGATGTTATGCAGCAGCCGCCGGTTATATGCCTGGAGCTCTTCCATTTCCTCCTTCTCCCCTGTTGCCTGCAAACACCATAGCCATCACCCCTTGCCCAACACTCACAATGGGTAGATGTAGTGGCCTAGGGCATAGACAGATGAGGCCTAAAGAACAGGCAGAAAGACCAGGAAGGGTTGGATAGGGGACTGAGAATGGACACAAAGGCAGCATGGGACAGAGTGGCCTTAGGGCACCCTGAGCCTTAGCAAGCTAGACATACATTTCTGGCTTGGACAAGGCTCTGCCCCCTAAGGGCCCACCCTAGTCACCTGCAGTTTCCACAGGAAATCCAGGCGGGCAGTTGACTCCACCTGCTGGGCATGTAGATACAGTGCCAGCGCAAACACCAGCAGAATCACAGGTGTCATGTATTTCAGTGCCACCCTTCCTACAGCTGGGCTGAGGATAAGCGGAGCTGTGTTTGGTGCCTGATCGAGGCATCCACCAGCCTCACCCTTTGCTGTCCCAGAGCCCTCACTTACCAGTCTAACCCACTGAAGGTCTCATTGGAAGAAGCTCTGTAGGAAGATACAAGAGAGAACTTATTGGTGCTTCCTGGATGGCTGGGCAGGCTTGGAGAGAGAGACTGCACTACCAAGTCGTATCACTCACTAGTCATGCACTGGACCAGGGCCTTATCTTCTGTTAATTAACTCCTTAAGAGCAGAGGTCAAGAGAAACTACTTAGTGGCTCAACTACTTACCAACTGTATGACTTAGGACAAGTGACTTAGACCTTCAGAACCTTTTTCCTCACCAGTAAAAATGGGATCAGAGGGGCTGGGGATTTAGCTCAGCGGCATAAGCACCTGCCTTGCAAGCAGGCGGTCGTGAGTTTGATCCCCAGTACCAATAAAAAAGGAAAAAAAAAATGGGTCAGACCTATGTAATGCATATGCAAGGCTTAGCACACGCCTGGCATGAAGTAAATCTTTACAAGTGTTAGCTACTATAACCTTTACCACTATCCAGTGATAAAGGTGGGTTTGCCATTTGACAGATGAGAAAATTGAGGCTCCAAAAAGTTAACTCACCTGTCTGAGGTTACATAACTAATGAACAGCAGAGCAGGGATTTGAACCCAGTAAACGCCAGAGGCGTTTTCTACAACAAGCTATGGCCGTGTATCACAAAGGATGGGGCTTTGGGCAAGTAAAACCAACGTGGTATGCGAGCCAAAGCCCTCAAGCAGGAGTCAGAAGTTTTGCTTCCTAGCTAGGACTCTGCCAATAAGCAGGTGGTTAAAACAGTAGGCAGGAAAGCACCATGCAAATATGAATTATTTTTCTCATTGTTTAGCCTAAAGACACAGGAATTTCCAGGACTGGTGTTGCCTTGGGGTACCATGCCAGGAATCCCCCATCTCTTTCTTTCCCCAGGGGTAAACTGCAGCATTCCCAAGGTACAAGGTCCTGGGCACTAGAGAGGTTCTCAGTGACTAGCAGGGTTGAGACTTCTGGGACATTAGAGGGGATGAAAATAAACTTACAAGCCGTGGACACCAAGTAGTAGGTCATAGTTGTCAAAGATGGTGGCTGGAGGACCCAACAGAAGCAGCACCAAATAGATCAGTCCCAAGATGAAGATCATAGCCAACTTGCCAATACTGCTGATGTGCAGGAAGACAGAGCTGGCCAAGAGACTCAGCAACATGTTCCCGATGAAGTACTAGGGAGGCGGGCAATGGTAGAAGCAGCATTGAATGATGGCAGAGGCCACAGCTCCCAGGGCAGGAAAAGCCCTGCACTCCTCTGCCTGACCAGTGTTACCCGCTTCAGCCCTCAAACCCCAATACCCTTCACCCTCTGCCTCCAACCTACACCACGCCAGGGTCCCTCACTGCTCTTGGAGTTAGGAACTCTAATGAGTTCTGGGTCCCCAGTGCCCATCACTAGGCCTGGCACACAGAAACTAGTAACTGTGCCAGGACATCTCCCTTTGCTTGAACACTGCTTGGACACCTCAGGGAAGCTGCAGGTGGGTGCGGTGCCCTCACACAGGGGAGCATCCAGGCCCAGAGAGTAATTGAGCTGTTGTAGGTGGCAGGCAGTGATGTCAGCAGGTGTTAAATTCAGCATCCGGGCAGCACATGTCCGTATAGGTGTGTGGTTACAGGTGAACTGCAAAAGCCAGTGTATATCAAGTTAACCATGGAATGAAAGGATTGCAAGGGTCATGCCCAGGTATCTTATACCCAATGGCCAAAGTTCTCAGGGATAATGACAAGTGGGGTAATGAGAGGGGAAACTGGAGTGAACCTCCCCCTCCTCCAGGATAGTGGGTTCCTTGAGGGTAGGAAACATGTTTTATTCCCCCTGCATTCCCAGTGCCAAAGTGATGTCTGGCACAGAGCAAAGGCAAGAGTACTTCCACAATCCTTACCATGTTGGCGATGGCAGAGATGAACACAAGCAGGACTGAAAAGATGCCAACTGCGGTGCTGTGTGCCCGAGAGCGAACGATGCTTCGGGACAGATGTTGTAAGGCCTTAGGGAATAGCTAGAATAGCGACAGACCAAGAGGTAGAAGGCACATGAGCCAAGAAGGAAGGCTAACCAGGGAAGGGCCCAGTAAGAGAGGCATAACTTCTCCTCCCTCTCCCAACAGGACCCTTTCCTTGCCCACCCGCAAAGCCCCAGGGAAGTCCCTCTACATACAGAACCACAGGAGTACACAGCACAGATCAGCACAGTGACCAACAACAGCAGGAAGATACTGGCGTAGATCCCAAGCAGCAGGGTGGAGCTGGGGCAGGGCCAGGGAAAATGTTAGTAATATCTGGGCATCCTTGTCCCCGACCCTGGTATAGGCAGGGGTGCAGGCTGCAGGGGCCAGGGGCCTGCTTGGCATTTATGAAGGTCTGGGAAATGTTGAAAAGGGGGCAGGGCTCTCACTGTGGGAAGATGAGGAGCTGGATGAAACAGATGAAGCAGAAGACCAACAGGGCACAGGCAACATAGGCTCCAAATCGGGGATCCACCTTCCGTGAGTACTGAGGGAGAAGAGGCTGAACTGAGCCCTGGACTCTGCCGGGACAGCAAGGGCAGGGCCCTACAGGGGCCTCAAGGGGAGAAGCAGTTGATGTGAATTCTCCTCTGCTCTGTAGTCCCTGGCCACTGCCTAAAACCACCACCTGCTCAACCTTTCCTTGCCTGGACCTGCTTCTCCCACAGACCCTTTTTCTTTTACCCCATGTCACAAACCTTCTTCTCAAGATCCTCCCTCTGGAAGGTAAGCAGGAACCGGCGCACGTGGTCCTTACGCAGCTGATCGATGCTACGGGCATCAATGGCACGGCCCAGGAACTCATCCACCTCATCCTCAGGATTCAGAGCATCCTGAGCACCCCGGCTGAGGACAGGAGGTATATTTTACAAGGTGCCTGAGCCATGCCATACGATAAGCAAAGGGAGAGGGCGTGTGGGCATGCATGGTTCTTACTCTCACACAATATTATCAAAGGCCCAGGAAAGAGGATCTCAGCTCCTCAGCCCCATCCAAGGCACAAGGGCATTTCCCTCCTCAACCCCCCCCCCCCAATAACCTGACTTACTTGTCTTTGCTGGAATCATCAATGCCCTAGAGAAAGAGATAAGAGTGTATGAGTAAAGTGCAGGGCCTAGCTACCTTTACCTCTGTTACATTTTTCCCTCCCTAGTACTCTATCTAGGATGTCTCCCCATTCCACACACACACTTTGGGGGACTTGGGACACCTGGGATAAAATCATCTCTCCTGACCCTGATGTCAGAAAGCATAGATGGAAATGGAAGCTGCAGGAAGGACATGGAACATAAAGAGAGACAAGAAATTGAAGACCCAAGTCCTGGTGGTGAGGGCTCCTCACCATCTGGCGGAAAGCCTTGGAGTCCTTGGTCCGGGAAAAGGCACGGTCAGGTACCCAGCGTGGCATCAGCCCTTCTATGGAATTGGCCCTTGTCCGCTGCAGCCTGGCCAGCATTGCCTTCTCCTCTTTCTGTGTGGACCATGTGGGTACGGGGTCAGAAGAGGAGCCTTAAGAAGGACTCTGACAGGGGCTGGGGATTTAGCTCAGCGGCATAAGTGCCTGCCTTGCAGGCAGTCGTGAGTTCAATCCCCGGTACCGATAAAAAGGAAAAAGACAAAAAAAAAAAAAGACTCTGTGCCCACACACACACATTCTGTCCCTCTCCATGCCTGCCTCCCCAACCCTTAGCTGGGCCCTGGTCCTGACCCGTTTTTGGCTGGCTCCCAGGATGAGGAAGGTCTCAATGCGTTGCTCCTTGAGATATGCGTTGCGTTCACCGCCACGGCCTGGCTCTACCTCATAGTCCCCGTTTAGGTATTGCAGCGTGGCCCGAGTGATATGGATGCGGCTGTGCAGGGGGCAGGAGGTAAGACCCTAGCTCTCCCAACTTGTTCCCAAACCCCACAGGCTGGACCCTTCCACTCACCCAGCCCGGCCTCCCGCCTCCATGTGGTTGGCCAGGGTCACATCATTGGACCACACATCAAACTGCCATTTCCGCAGACCAAGTACGCCACAGTGCACGCGCCCGCTGTGGATCCCCACACGCATGTTCACATTCACACCTGTCACTTCACGTACCAGCCTGGAAAAAGGCAGCTCTGAATCAGCTCCTGGCACAATCTTCCCCTCCCCCAGCCCAGAACCCAAACAATCCAGTAAGCACGGACAGACCCAGATGCAGGAGACAGGAGCATAGTACAAGCTACATATGGTAAAAAGGCTGCACAGGGGCTCAAGCACAAAGCTTTGAGAGCTGTGTTCAGCAAGGGCCACAGCGTCTTGTAGGATTGAGCCAGCTGAAGAGGGGTCACTATTCTCACCTCTGGTCTCCTAAACTGGCATTTCTGCAGCCCTAAGTCCCCCACTGCCCTAGTTCCCCCCCACCTCTAAGACGGCTAAAGTCCAAGGGTCTTCACAGAGGCTAGAAAAAGAGCCATTCCCCTTCCCAGTAACAGATTTCAAAGATGGAGAAAAAGCCAAGGTAGGAAAATTCCTGAGAACACGTCAGAGTAGTAGCAGTCTGGGGCACCCACAATTCCAGGAAGCCTGGGGATGGGGCACTGCTTACGATATGGCCTCGATCATATCCACCCCCATCTCCACACAGCAGTGGGCATGGTCTGCCCGGGCCTCCGGCAGCCCTGACACACAGTAGTAACAGTCCCCTAAGATCTTGATCCTCAGGCAATGATTTTCCTGAAGGGGAAGAGGTGGAGGCAAGGGTCACCTTTACTTTCTTACCCACCCAGCCTTACTGCAGATGCTATCTCCCCGCACCCCTAGCTGCCACCAGCAAGGCTGTGCTCTCACCACACTTGGCACACTGTCCCCAAGCCCCAGCACCCTCACCGCGGCCAACTTGTCAAACCGGGCAAAGAGTTCATTCAAGGTCATGACCAGCTCCTGCGCAGTGCACTGGGAGGCCAGGCTGGTAAAGCCCTCGATGTCTGCAAATAGGATGCTGTGGATGACGACAAAGGATAGATGGGCTATGCAGCTGGACTCCCAAACCCTCACCCCACCCTCGTGGCATTCTCCCATTCCCACCCTACCTAACGTTGTCATGCTTCTGGATGTAGATCTTGTGGAACATCATGTCTTCTTTTTTTGTGTTGATGTCTTCTTTCATCTCCATGGCAACGTGCTGGGGCAACACCGACAGCAGCAGCCGCTCCTAGACCAGTGGTTCCACAGGGCACTGCTATCATCTCTGCCCCATATTTTGATCTTCTTGATTCTTCCACATTCCCAGAGCCCTCCCACATCTCTCTGGTGACCTGAGCTCTTGTGGACTGTAGACAAACACACCCAACCAGAGCCCACTGCAGACATCTATCCCCTAGCCCTCTCTGGTCAGCCCCCACTCAATCCTCCAGATGTACTATCTACTCTCTTACACCCTCCAGCAAGGCAGAACCCTAGTGTCACAGGGGGCATCTATGTAGTTCAGGGGGAATCATTCACACAGGATCCCACAGACTTGGATAAAGCAGCAGATCCAATCTGCAAAAGTGTGTGGGGGCTAAGAAAAGGAGCATCCTAGTCAAGGGAAGCAGCCCCACCTGCTGCCGATTTTCATGCTGCAGATGCAGCCGAGCCTGGATATAACCACGGGTCTCTTGAAAGGCCTGGCGCTGAGACACTTCAGCCGGATAATGTGTGCAGATGCCGATGACATTGGTGCAGAGGAACAGTACCATGTTAGCACCGAGCTGCAGAAGGGCGGCATAGACAGATGGAAGACCACTTACCAACACACACACACGTGCATACAACTTGCAAGGATCTTTCCAGACTCACTCCTTGGGGAGGAAGCCAGGGTCTGCACCCTGTCTGTCCCCAAGCTGCCTCCACCCCTCCGATCTTTCTTTCCCATTCCCACTGGAATCCAGATCCGAGCCCTCTGCCTGGAATCACTCCGTGACTGTATCATTTCACAGCTTCAGCAAGCAGGATTATCAACCAGGGCAGGCACTACCCAGCCCCAGAACCCTATGATCCTGCCTCACAAACATCCAAACAAAAGGCTCCTTCCCCATGTGGTTCTCCTTACAGGTCAGCACCCAGGAGACCTGAGCTCTCTGTCCCCCTGTGAGTGACCCAGGACAAATCAGCTCATCTCTGTTTGGGTCTCTGTTTGCTCATCTGTAACTCAAACAGGAAATAAAATCTCTTAAGAGGAAATAAAATCTCCTGCCCTGCAGACTGAAAAACAATGATCATTATTATAATTACTACCATAGCTTGTTAGTTGGCTCCCTGGAATGTACCAAGATTCTATGGATTCTTTCTATACATTAATGTAGTTCTTAAAACTCTATGAATTAGGTAACAGCATCCCATTTTAAAAGTGAGGGACTGGGGCCAGGGCTATAGCTCAGTGGCACAAGTGCCTGCCTGGCAAGCTCAAGGTTGTGAGTTTGATCCCTGGTACCAAAAATAATAAAAGTGGGGGACTAGCTGTGGGGAGGGGGAAAGGAGGTTGCATGCCTGTAATCCCAGTATTCAGGAGGTTCAGGCAAGAAGAGTTCTCAGTCAGCCTGGCTGGGCTTACTATGGTAAGACCCTGTCTCAAAAAAAAAAAAAAAAAAAAAAAAAAAGGAGGAGCTCAGTAAATGGCCTAGAACTGCAAGTGGTGTGGCTGGCATAGGACTTGAGTCCAGGATAGACTCCAAAGTCTGTCTCCTAATCCCACTTGCTAACGCATGCCACATTTCTACAAGTTCTTTCCCTACCACTGACCCTAATTACTTGTTCAGTCTCAGAGCTTGGGAATCATCAATTCTGTTGACACAAACACCCCCCTAATGGGATGAGGTGTCACTCCCAGCCTGACCAACCCCAGCCAACTCTTGAGATATAACCACACACATTTGGCTCTTCAGTCATCCTTGGCAGCATCGGCTGGAGAGCAGCACGTCCAAGGAAGCTGGCCTCAGTGTTTCTGGAAACTCAGGGGTTAACCTAACTCCTAACTCCTAACTTGGAGTTGGATGGGGCAGGGCTCTGGCTGGGGAGAAGGGAGGAAAAGCTCACAACTGCCCCAACCAGAACTAGTCTTGCAGACCTAGACAAGTCCTTAACCTTTGGGACCTCAGTTTCCTATGTGTAAAATTGAGGGGTTGGTGTGGCTAAGCCCTAGCCATTTCCAGCTCTGACCCTTTAGAACAGCCTCTCAGCTTCTCTTCCCAGACCAGCATATGAGCCCCAAATCAACCAAGCCAAGCTCCCTTCCCAGCAGCAGGGGTGAAGAGGGGGCACACTATCTCCCTCTGGGGCTTCTAAGAATAGTCCCCAGTGGGATAGAAGGAAAGGGGGGAGCAAATCAGGCAACTTCCCTTCCTGGCCCCAGAAGCCCAAGAGGAAAATGTGAGTCATGGTGGAGGGAAGGGGAAGGGGGATGAGAGACTGAAATAACTGTACACACACACATCCCTGCCCAATTGTGAGGGGAAAAAATGGATGCAGGCCACTGGAGGTGACTCTCGGCTTGCCTGGGGTCACTGGGTAAAACTGCTTGGTGTGTCTAAAAGGTGGTTCTTCCAAGCATGAACTAGGCTGGACCTAGGAAAGAGGAGGCCTCAAGGCCACCCCATCTAGAAGCTCCTCAGCCCAAGTGGGCAGAAAATTGTTCTCAGATCAGAGGAGGCTGTATGGGCAGCCCTGACCCCTCAGATGGGCACAGGGGCAGCATGACTTTCTGTACCACCCCAAGAATGTGTCAGCCTAGACCCACAGGGATGAAACTATAGTCAGACACCCCCAGGAGGCGGAAGGCTAGGAACCCTGGCCTCTCTGAGGTTAAGCCTCCCAACTCAGAGGCCAGGCTTGGCTCTGGGAACCATGCCAGCTGGGAGCAGGGAAGAAAGAAATCTGCCACCACCAGCCAGCCAGAGGGGAAGGGAGAAAGAAGGCAACATCTCTGAGCTCCCTTGTCCCAGGAGGACAGTGAGGCTCCAAAGCCCAGAGTGACAATAACCTGGAAGAGAAGTTGGGGGACTAGCAAGGGTAGAGGGACCTGGCTTTTAAGAAGTTCAATAGTGCCCTTTAGGCATGTGCTTCACAAACAAATATGCTATAAAGTTACCTTTAAAAAGGTACGTTCTGTCCTGGAGCACAGGCTGGGTGGGAAGGGCCTTATGCCAAGGCACCCAGCTTCTCACCCTGTAGCTCCAGGCAACTTCCTCCCCACGGGTGGGCCCAAAGTGGGCTACAGAACACAAGCCTCAGCAAGGCAAAGGCTGGCCCTTCCCAAGGAGCAAAGCAGAGCTCAACTCAGTACTGATGCTGACTAGGAGGCTGTGCCTACAGCTGTTTGCCTTTGCTCCCCAGGCAAGGGTGACCTGAGATGACACCCACAAGCACCTCTCTTGAAAAGCCCTTGCAGCAGTCCCCACAGTTCACTGTCCCCAGGTAATTGTCTGTTCCTGTCCAGTGGGTCCCACTCCACTCTGGGAAGGAGATGGAGCGCACCAACAGCAACGCTCAGTACTTTTACCCATTTTACACACCAAGAAAATCAGGCTAGGAGAGTGAAGTCAATTGTCTAAGATCCCACAGAGCAGACAAGTCCTTATTCTCACTCTATAGAGTAAGACCAAGCCCACACTCAAGCCCAAGAGAATAGCCAGCACCAGCAGAGCACCTCAAGGCAGGGCTGCCAGGCCAGTGGCACCCAGTGTGCAAGAACAGGATGACATCAGCTTTCAGCACTCCTTTCTTTTAGAGTCCAACCACACATCATCCCAAGCCCAAGAGAGAAATGACCCCAGCTCTCTGCCCTCCCTGTCCCCCAAGAAAAGGCCCTGGTCCAGAAGAGTGGTGACTCTTCCTTTGCCAACTCCATCTGAAACCTGCTCATTCCTCCCGATCCTGCTGCAGAACACCTATGGCACCAGGGCCTTAATTTCAGGGGTCAACCTGGAGACAATGATGCCACATCCCAGATAAAGCCTGCTTTCTCAACACTGCCCCCCACTCCACAGCCCACCATATTCCCACCCCTTCTCCCACCGTGTGTCTAAAGGCTGCATTATTTCAGCAGTCTCGGGCCAAAGAACTGGAAACTAGCCTATGGACAGGACACAGGGGTGGGTCCTGGAGTGTTCCTTCTACTCCACAGTGTCTTGTGCCCACATCCTAAGTGGAGGCACACCTCAAAAATCTGACCTTCCAGGCATAGCCAAATGTCCCTGTACTCAGGTTCCACCCATGACTCGCCCACCTTGCCTTACCAACCCCCTCCCTGTTCCTGCACTGATGCCCTCCACACCTACCTGCTTCCAGAGGAAGGCATCACCTTGGTTGAGCTGCCAGGCCAAAATCAAATGCAGGCTGGAGAGGCCTAGGCCACTGAGCACAGCAGCCCGCATGCGGATGGGCAGGAGCGTGTAGGTGATGTAGACGAAGAACATGGGGCACCAGAGGCCTGCTGAGGGGCTGTGTGGGTTGGCTGCCAGGGCGCCCCCGACCTGTACAGCTGCCAGGATGCCCAGCACTACATAGCTTACCACCCACATAGAGTCCTGGCGAAAGCTGTGTCGGTTACACACCACCATGAGTGCCACAAAAAGGGTGGCAGCACAGGCCAGCAGAGCCACATAGGCAGGCTGGGGACTGGCAGGTGCGGCATGGAAGGCCAGCAGCACAACCGTGAGCAGCAGGAGCACCGCCATCAGCAGTGTTAGGCTGCTCTGGTTCATCTGGAAGAAGTACCGCTGGTACAGGCGCTCTAGCTTGGCTGAGCGGAACTGCTTTGACTGGAACACCCGCACCAGATGGCGCCAGCATGATCGTCCATTCCTGCTTGCTACATCAGGTCCAACCTCAGCAGTCCCCACTGCTGCTGCAGTCATCTCAGTGTCCTCAAAGCCCAGGGCCACAGCCCGCAGCCCCAGCTCCCTAACCTTGCCTGGCCCAGCCCTCCGGACAAAGGCTTCATCCTGCCAGGGGCACCGAGCAGGAGCTGCAGGGGTGGGGCTGGGTGGCTCTGCATCCTGGAGGCAGCTCATATAGCGTGGTGCACAGAAGCCACTGGCCCGAGTCCCATGGCGTACACGCTTCTGTCCATTGCGCTCACCCCAGGCTGTTTTTCGTTCATCCACTTTGGGGACCAAGAGGCCACTAAACCATGACATGCTGCTGGGAGAAAAGGTAAGAGATGGCATCAATACCACCATCAGGCTCCTGTCACCACTAGCAACTCATTATCCAAGCACTTCCCACAGCCAAGTTAGGTGCTTCATACACATTATCCTCATAAAAAAAAAAAAAAAAAAAAAACACTCCAAAGTAGGCAGTGGCCTCTCCATTCAACAAGAACCAAAACAGAGAGATAGAGAAACTTGATCCAGATCCAAAATCCTAAACTGGATTTACCTGAGGCCAAAGCCAACACCCGAAACAATCCCCTCTTCTTTAATGGCACTGATTTCTCAGTACTGACAACCATAAGCACCCATGTCAAGAAATGAAGCAGCCCGTGGCTCCAGGGAGCTGGGAGGAACAGACTGCGCACCAACGCTACGGAGGCCAGCACCACGGGCACCAGCACAGCTACCACTACTGTCCAGCAAAGCCTGAGCTCGAGTTTTCAACAGAAGCTAAAGAACAAACAAACAAACAAAAAACCCCTCTCGAGTTCAATGTCACAACTCCTGATTTTTAAATGTTGGCAACTAATCCACATTTTTCAACACTGCAAGCCAAATAAATCACATCTATGGAATGAGTTCAGCCTATGAGCTGCCAATCGGTGACCTCTGTACAAAAGAGAATCTCTTTCCACATCCTTCCTCGTCACACATCCACACACACAGCCACACACACACTGCACCGAGCTAAACTCAACTTCTCCCTCAGGTCACAGCTGAAGTGCAACTTCCTCAGGGATGATTTCCTATCTCCGGCCCAGACTAAGTTTGGTGCCATTTACCTCTGTACATTTCCTTCATAACACTTACTGCAATTCAAATTAATCTGCTCCTTGTTTAATGTGCATCTCTGTACTTTTTTTTTTTTTTTTTTTTTTTTGCTACTGAGAATGGAACTCAGGCGGGGGTTTGTATTACTGAGCTATATTCCCCCTGTCCCTCTTATTCTAAGCCTTGTGAGGAAGGAATTTTTTTCTATGTTGTCCAGCATCTTACCTCTGGAGCCACATACGGGGCCCAGCTTACAGTAAGAACTCCATAAATGCAAGTTGAAAACACAGGAAGCGAGCCAGAGCATGGGTGTGGAGTGGCTAGAGTGAAATACTGACTAATAAAGATAATCCTGACTTGGGGCTGGAGATTTAGCTCAGCGGCATAAGCGCCTGCCTTGCAAGCAGGCAGTTGTGAGTTCGATCCCCGGTACCCCGATAAAAAGGAAAAAGGCAAAAAAAAAAAAAAATGATAATCCTGACTCTTCATCTTCCTCACTGCTCCTTATCGTATTAGCCTCTCTGCTGTCCCCAATATACCAATTCAGGCCAACCTGGGACTCTGGTGCTTGCCATTCTACAGTCTGGAGTAAAAGTTCCTGCAGGTCATGCCCCAAATGTCTCCTTATCAGTGAGGCTTTCTCTGACCACCAGTTAAAATAGCAATTCTCTTTTTCCTGGGGCTTCCTATCTCTCTTTCCAGTTTTATACTTTCTTTTTCTCCTCAGCCCTTACTAGCAACTCTCATTCTATACATTTTTCTTATTTGTTCATTGTCTCTCCTAATTAGAATGTCAACTTCATGAACGCAGGAATTTGGGACTGTTTTGTCCCCTGAAGTATCTACAATACCGCATAGATCCAAAAATTTGCTGAGTACATGGAGGGCTGCTGGATGAATACTCCCATGTATTTTATGTTTTTTTTAAAAAAAACTTTTCAAGGTTTTGTTTTGTTTTGTTTTGTTTGACACAGACTCTCACTATGTAGTTCAGGCTGAACTTGAACTCACTATGTAATCCAGATGATTCTCCTGCCTCAGCCTCCCAAGTGCTGGGATTATAGGCATGTGCTGCTATGCCTATAAGCTTCAAGGTCTTGGTCTTTTTACATGCCTAAATTCATGTAAGTCTTCACAAAAAAAAAAAAAAAAAACCAAGGTCAATGGCAGTTTTATACAGTTGACTCAAGTTACAGAGATCCTGGGTAACCGAATCATTCTCAAATCCTTAAATCCCAGGTTTCCTGGAGGGACATGCCATGAACTGTGATGTGAGGATCCACAACAACTGCTTTGACATCCACAGATGCTTGTGTCCCCACCTCAGTGACACTCCTCCATACCCACAGGGCACCCTGAGGGGCCCCTGCTATTTAAACCTGCTGAGCTAGCAGCATAAACATGTGTACTTACTAGGGTATGAGTGGGAAGTGTACCCAGACCTGCCCCAGGTGGCCACAGAACCAGATGCTAAGACAGACAAGCAGCACTCGAAGCAGACACCGAGTGACACCTAGGGCAAAGCAAAAGGAAGCTAGGGAACTTCTCTACACACCCTAAAACCTCCACCCCTGTTTAAACTTCCGCTAAGTTCTGTCAGTTCCCTTCGGTATCCCACAGAGCCACATGCCCTTCAACCTCTCAATCACTAATGGCCCCATCTGGAAAGACAGATCAGGAATACAAGACTTTGGTCAGGCTGGCATTTGGAAAAGGTCACCAAAGAAAGCCTGGCTCTTCAAAATACTTCATGAGAAGCATGATCTTTGGCATGAGATCAGGTTTCAAACCTTAGCATGATTATTTCCCAAGAGCACTGCTATGCACAAGTTATTGTAGCTTCCTGCATCGGTTTCTTGTATAAAATGGGAATAACGGTTTTCAGAAACAAATCTAATACACTTGTCGTGTAGCATACAATAAACATTAATTCTTCTGTACATCCTACAATACTCTGCCACTATCAAGAGACAGAGACCCAACAATCATAAGCAAGAACAATCATCCATCCAGTCAGTCAGACGCCTGCTTCTATTAGTGCCTGTGCCCTTAGCTGTGCCCAGAGCTGCTGGGGACAGGATCCAGAATGAGCAGGTTTCATACCACTCCTCCCTAACATTTTGCCTCAGTCAACTCCCGTGTCAGTCCCCTACCTTGTTCTCATCTCCCACCGCAACTAACCTAGACCACTGATCCCAAAGGACCTGTTTCTGGCCACATTCCCAGGGCCCTGGAAGCACATTCTATCATTTGGTTCATACTCACAGAGGAAGGGGCAAACACTGTCCAGGAGAACACATGACCCTTCCAAGAACACTCAGCATCCCCGAGGGGATGGCTTCAGAGCTCTGCAAATGTCCAACCAACTGCAGCCATCCCACCTTGGCCCTCACTCCAGGCATTGCCCATCCAGGCCATCATGTCAGGACCCAGCACTCCTGTCCAGAAACCCTCCACTATGAGCTCCAGGAGCTTGGCTCACTTCCCTCTCCCACAGTGCCTCTGACCTCTTCTTCCCGAGTCTTGGTCTCCTTGCTCTCTCTCATGGATCAGCTGCTCCAGACACCACCAGTCCCACAGCTGGAACCACGTCCCATTCAGCCCCAGGCCCAGGGCCTCCCAGACCTCAAGTCCCTCCCAAATCCTGATCTTTCAGGAGGCTGCAACCAGAGTCTGGAGAAGGCCAAGGCCCAGCCCCAAGGATGGCTCTGCCCACAGCTTCACCCAATCCGCTTTGTGGCCAATTCTTCTCCATCCTGTCCCCAAGGGCCATCTGCCCCTGCCTTCGTTGGCAAAGGAGGATCCAGGGATTTTAAAACCATTTCAGAAAGTTCATGGCAGAAGACGCTGCCCAGGCGGAGCCCAAGAATGCCAGCACCACCCACCATCCTGGGACATGAGGCTCAATTCCAGGCCTTTCCAGATGTAGAGGAGCCTCCCCAGGGCCTGTATTTGTGGGTTCAGCGCTGCCTTTTTCTGCCTTGCCCAACACATTATCTCCTCCTAAGGACTGCAAAAGGCTCCCACTTCCAGCCCCAGACAATATGTACTATGATGCAGAGCTCACAGATGGGCTTTAGTTGGGGGAAAGTGACATGGGGAAAGGGTCTCCCACCACCTAATTCTACCTTTGGCTTTTCAGTCAATCCTTGGGACTTCTCTAAATAAAGCCTGCTCTTCTGCCAACCCTGCAGCAGGATTCCAGGTGGTGAAGGGCTGACACCACCACCCCTTTCACCGCGAAGGGCTAGGGTGTGGGTGAAGGGTAACCAGGGGGCTTCCCGCAAACGGAAGGCCTCCCTCTCCTCTAAACACAAATCACACCCTACCCCAAACTCGGAAATTCACCCACAGCCCCGCTGCCAAACCCTCAGGCCGGCCCCTCCCCCAGTACATGCCTTCTCTCCTTCTCAGGCGAGGCTGGAAACTCCTGCGAGTGGAGGAAGGGAAGAGCGCGGCGGGGAGCGAGGGTGGGAGCGTCGGCCGTGGACCGACCAGACCTTGATGCCCCATCTCCTCCAGGACCTCGCTTGGCCAGCCCACTGCCTGCCGCTGCCCCAGGAACAGTGGCGACCTCCCATCCCATCCCGGGCCTCGCCGTCCCCACCACAAACTCCAGTCGGAGGCCGCCGGGGCTCCAGTCCCACCGCCCGGTCCCGCGCACCCACCTCCCCCGGCGCGGCTCGCCGCGCGCTCACCTGCCCGCCGAGGTCCGCGCCTGCCCCGCGCCCGCGCCCCGCCGCCCCCGCGGGCTCCGGCCGGCCGGCCGGCCGCCCCGCGGTCCTTCTCCGTGCCCGCGCGTCCCTGCCGTGCCGCCCGCCTCGCAGCCGTCCGAGCGGCCGGCGCCCCCTCCCTGCTGTCCAGCGCAGCCGCCCTCTACCCCGGATCCAGAAGTCCCCTCCCCGCCGGCTCCCGGACTCCCCGCCTTAAAGGCACAAGCTCCTTTTGTCTGGGCACCCCCTCCCCCTCCCCAGAGGCGGGGGCAGAGCTGCCCACTCTCCTCCCAGCAGCCGGGTAGGGTGGGGAGACCCCGGGATGGCCCCCTCCCTCCGCTCGCCCCCTCCTCTCCGCCGCCGCTCCCTTCCCCAGCCTCGGGGAAACAAGCAGCCACTGTTCTAGGTTCAAGACCCCGGGGGAAGGGGCCGCGCCCCGCTTCCCCGTCTCTCCAGCCGCGTGCTGCATCCCCCGCCTTCCCTCCCACTCCCACCCTCACTCGGGGGTCCCCGGCGCCGGCAGACCCACCCCTCACAGCGGGTGTGCCCCGCCCCTCCCACCGAGGGCGGTCCCTCGTGGTGTGGGTACCCCGGCCCCGGCCCGCACCCCGCACCCACTCCTCACCTCTCCCTCCCTCCGTGCCCTACCCCCACTCGTCGGGCCACCCTCCCTGCCAAGGCCCCGCTGCCTCCCGCGGGAACTCAGTTTAATAATTAATTAAGATTTCATTCCACAAGGCGCCAGGTGTGTGCGGCCTGCTTGCCTGCACACCACTTCTTTCCTCTTCCCCATCTGTTAGGGGCAGTGGCCCCGAATTCGACCTCCTGCGCTCAGAGCCCAGAAAGGGGGTGACAGAAGGGGCATTCTCCGTGCCACTCTCCGGACCCACCTCTGTGGGCCCCCCTTCCTGGCACCTGCCGACTCGCAAAGTCCCTCCCCCTGCACCTTTTACCCACGGGTAGTACTCTGCTGGGGGGAAGGAGTGTACTGCTAGGTACAGGAACTGGGAAATTGCTTGGGACTTTTATTTCCCTCAGTCGAGCAGTTACCCAAGTTACCAAGGAAATGGGAAAACCCATTAGAAAGCTGCTTTAACCCTTTGAGTGTTAAAATGATGGCGAAACCAGAAAGGAAGGGAGGATTACTTCCCAGGATGTAGGTGGGTCTGACTATGGAGAGGGTACCATTCCTCCCAGCTGGAAAAAAAAGACAGCCTGGCCTCCCTGTGAGGCCCTCTCCCTAGACCCTCAATCTTGTGCAAGCCCATCCTTCGGTCCAGCCCTGCCCTAAGCAGCTGCTTCCTCACCCAAGGCTCGACAATTTAGGTATCTGAAGCTGCTTCCTCTCCAGACCCAACCCTCCCTATAAGCTCTGACACCTCCAAAACCCCCAGCAACACATCTCTTGTCCACTCAAGATCCCCAGTGGGATCCCTAAGCCCAGGTCAGAACTCGAGGCAAGGAAGAGAGAAAAAGAGTTAAGGAAACAGGTTTTTATTACTTATCAGTCATCCATCACTGTAAACAATATACCTCAGAGCCTCATTAAAAATGGGGCTCAACCATTTGCCTTCTCGTTTTCACATAGTCCTTTGGATAAAATAGTGAAATGTTGATTATAATGTTTGTAAACGGGAAATAGGGCTGAAGATGCAGCTCAGGTAGGATGCTCACATAGTACATAACGTAGAAGGCCCTGGCACCATCCCTAGCACCTCAAAAAAGAAAATGGGAAGTGAAAATGAGAAAGTGATAATATATTGCCTCTAATTGGAAGCCCTGTAGGCCCCCGCCTGTAATTTGACCTCTTTGCCCAACTTTTCCACTCAGGTAGCCAATGTTCTCCACACCGTCAGAATTTCCTCTCCAACCTGAATAGGTATCTACCATTTACCTTTTAGAGAGCAACGTGTTTATGAGCCATGGGGGGAGGGATATACAAGAGCAGCTGAGATAAAGAAATAGGTTCATTATAAAATGAAAACTTTGTATTTTAGCGTGGACGTCTTTGTTTTTCATTTTATTTTGAAGTGAAAAAAAAATCCAGAAAGCAAGCAAAAAAGCTGGAGAAATATGCTGGGCACACGGCAGTCACACTGTGCCTCTGCCGTAGAAGACAGTCTGTGTGTTGGTCTGGCCTCCTGTTCACCATCTGCAGTTCCCGCAGGGCAGGGCCACTAACAGATCCCCAACCATCAAGCCTGTTTCTAGCACCATAGAATACATTGAGACCTTAAAATGATTTTTAGTCCTTTATTTTATAGATGGGAAATACAAGTTAGTGCTAACTGGGTAGGAAATGCTCCGTTACTGAGTTTTTAATTTGAATCATATTCAACCTGGAAGGGAAGTTAAAGATGATGTAACTCAGGTCTACACTTTCACTAATTACAATAGCAACCATTTAGATAGTGTACATTGTGTGCTGAGCATTCTTCTAAGCCTTTGACATGAAAGAACTCAGCCCTCACAACTTTTGATGCTATTATTATCACCCCACCTTAAAGATGGGGCAAATTAGGCAGAAAGTTTCAATAAGTCTCCAAGATAGGTAAGTCAGTGATAGTACTCCAGAGTATGAGGCCTTGCACTCAGTCTGTTTGGAAGCCAGTCCCTTGAAATGTGTGTGAAATGACTTATGAGTCACACCACTGGTTGGGAATGGAAAGTATGACCCGAACTCATGGCCCCTGACTCCAATCCAGGGCCCCTTTTATTCTGCCTTTCTGTGATCATGCTGTATACATCTCAGGCAAGGATTGTGCTGGTCCGTCCCCAGTGTTTCTTCAGAAGCAGACTTTCTTCTGCTGGTGATTGGGCTTTACCCCCACTTGGCTGTGGGACACACACTGATTGGGAGGAGCTGTGTGCCTTCGACTTCTGGCTTCCATGACCTGAAAAATGTGAGAACTATTGCCACTAACTGCAAGGGTAAGGAATTCCTCATACCCCCAGGTTATACATGGCCCTTCCCCCAGTCCCTTCCTGACTGATGATTACCTGCTACATGTAGGTTTCAACCTAAGTATCTGTCCCTAAAATGTATCAGAGCTATTAAAAGAGGTTTGCAAGGCAGTGGTGTGTGGCTGGAATCCCAGCAGTTTAGAAGGCTGAGGCAAGAGAATTTAAGTGTGAGCCTAGCCTGGGCAATTTAACAATTTAGCAAGAAACTCTCTCAAATAAAAGGTAAAATAGGACTGGAGATGGAGATGTAGCTCAGTGGGAGGGCTCTGGGTTCAATCTGCAACACCACAAACCAAAAAAAAAAAAAAAACAAAACAAAACAAAACAAATAAACTTGGCATTAATACTATTTTAATTTTAAAATTTTTATTAGTATATGTTTGCAGTATATAATGATTATATTCATTATGAGGAATTGGTATATGTACAAAACACATCTCAATTCTTTTTTCCCCTTTCTTTCTATCCCTTTTTTTAAAATTTTTTTTGACAGTTTATAAATGAATATTTTTTTAAAAGGTTTGCAGAGGAGTAGCTGGATAGAAAACATGGAGTCTCTGACCAGGGATATAACTCAGTGGCACAGCACCTACCTGGAAAGCACAAGGCCGGGCTGGGAGTGCTGTAATCCCAGCACTCGGGAGGCTGAGGCAGGAGGATTGTTGTGAGTTCGAGACCAGCCTGGGCTGCAAAATGAGCTCAAGGCCAGCCTGAACTGCATAGTGAGAACTTGTCTTAAAAAGACAAAAAATAGGGGGGCTG